AAAAGAAAACACACAATATTTATAGGAATAAACTAATAACCACCATAGGGGGGGCTTGGATAATAGTCCCATGAGTTGTCTAATAGTCCCATGAGTTGTCTTCAGGATTAACGGCAAAGTGTTGACCCTGTGCATGTTCTTGCATAATTTCATCTTGTTTATCCCCCCAAAATACTTCTTCTTCTTGGAGTAAATTTGGACACGTCCATGGCCATTATTTTTTGTTCTTGGGCTTCCTTATCTTGTTGCTTTTGATAGGCATAAACATCAGCTTGATCATGGACACACTTGTCCAATATGTTGAGCTTTCGTCTCTTATCCTCCTTGAGAGCAATGTCTTGCTCATTCTAAGTACTTATCCCATGTTTGTTGAGAAGGGTCAGCCATCTTCCCTTTTTTTTTTTGCAGCATTTTGTTTATCTCGCCCTTTAGGCCTTGGACTAGGCACGGATGGCTGTGGACTAGGTATGGTGACATCATCTGCGTCGTTATCTAAATTCACCATACTTGCACTAGCCTCTGATGAACGTTGTGTGGGAGGCTCATTTATATCGTTCCACTTTGGGAAATTTTTTAAGATTCCCAAGCATGGTACATCTTGAAATGCCTATTTAGAGGCTTATTATCATTAAGAAATATTATTTTCGCATACGTGTCCTACGCAGGAGTGAAAACAAAAAATAAGTTTGGAGTTGAATAAAAGAAATTTAAAGCTTTAATAAGAATGGGTACTTACCACAAAAGAGAACATTGTTGGTTGATAGTTTTGAGCTGAGAAGCAATGGCTTGGTATGTTCGTCGCTCAGGTCCATTGATGCCCGGATCATTTTCCATAAAATTTTGATATACATGCTGCCAAAATGTGTTGCTTGCTTGATTGGTGTCAATAGCCCCATCTTCACTAACGGAAACCCACCATTTGCACACGACCTCATCTTCGTATGGCCTCCAATTCACGCCTTTTTGAGATTTTGTGGACATCTTCGACAAAAATGAAAGGAGATTGATGAAATTGACAAAGGAAAAATAAATTGAGAAATAGACAAAAATGTTTTTGGTAGATGATCAATGCATAATTATATATCATTTTGTACCCTTCTAATTTATGATTTGGTTATGTTTTTGAGTTAAACTTGTGTTTTTAATCTTTTTTGTGTTTGTCATTCAGTTAATTGAGTTTTAGGTAGCAATGGTGGCTTTGGATACGAAAAGATGTAAAATGGTGCAAAAACATGCAAACTGAGTTAGCAATTTGTTTCGGCCTTAACTCTTTCCTCCAACCTTGGATTGGCCCAAATGACATGTGGTTGGAAAGATGACATTTTGAACTTCAAGATGGATCGCTCAAAGTCATCAATTGCTTAAGGGAAGCCCAATTCGTGAGCCCATGAAGTTGCTAGTCATGCTGACTAAAGGATGGGCTGATTGTTGCTTAGTCATGATGAGTTATGCATGAGTTATGGTTTCTGATGGGATTTGTTGGTGAAGTGCAACAACCAAATAAGAAAAGAAACTGATTTTCTATTGCGTTGGTGTGTTAGGTAAGGTTGGTGAAGTGGGTGTTGTAAGTGGAAGCCATACTCAATTCAGATTTATCACTTCCTTCTCCCTATAAATACCGCTTCCATTCCACAAGAATAAACAACATCCTGGGATTCACTCCCATAAATCACTCCATCCTCCACACTCCCATCATTTCTCAAACACATTCAGAAATCACCCTCAAACACTCCCACAACCCCAAACACTCCAGCAATTAGACTTGTCAAACGGGTCGTGTTTGCGGGTTTCGGGTCTTGTTCGTGTTAACCCGTTAAGTTAACGGGTTGACACGTCACGACTCGTTAAGTTAACGGGTGAAAAATATTAGACCTGAACACGACCCGTTACAATTCGCGAATCACACGACAAGACCCATTAAGAATTGAAAAACTATATAAATAAATAAACTGGAAAAAAAATAGCAAGAGAACACTCCTGCGCAACTAGAGCATAGCTCTGGGCAATTTCATTCTCATGATGTGGAAAAATCAAGGAGCTAAATTCAATACATAAATATATATATAAAAAAAATTAGAAATTCCCCAATACAACAAGTTAACTATAAAACCCTAACATTCAAACGAATGTCAAACAAAATCCCCTTAACTAAGCTTCATATGGGTCGTCGATGATGTTAATATCTTCCTTGGGAAAGAGATTGATGGCTCTAATAAGCTCTTGCAAATGTATGGAGGCAAAGCTAGACATGGCGAGGGAGAGTTCATGATTCATATCTGGACATGGTTGGATTCCTTTTCCTTCTTCTTCCTTTTTCTTCTTTCTTTTCCTTCTGCCACCGAAACAAAACTGAAGAAACTAGCCTTTGTCTAGCATAAAAGGCTGGTGTAGAGGATGAAGTTTCAGTTTTTTTTTGTTTTTTTTGTCAATGAAGGTTCAGTGTTATACTTGTATGCTTTTGCACACATTAATATTATATTAACTTACCAACCACTAGATGCGTGTAAATCAGAAAGGAATTCGACAACATCAAAACAATTGCATACAACCAAGTGGATAAAGGGGGTTTCTTTGAAAATGTGTTGGTAGGGGTTCGAATTTTCCTGGATTCAAATATTTTCACTTTTTAAAAAATGAGAAGCTCGTGTAAAATTACAAAAATACCCCTCCCCCTTAACGGGTTATTGGGTGATTTGCGAATGGTATTGAGACTACCCGTTAGCTTAACGGGTGGCTAACGGGTTAACCCGTTATCAAACCGACCTGATAACTCAGACCTGAATACTGAATTTTTTATGCGAATTAGTGTCGTGTTAACAGGTCGTGTACAATATTGCTAGGTCTACCAGCAATCAACCCAACACTCTAAACAGCCCCAAATCACCAAACATGTCCCAGCAAGTCTATCTGCCATTCCCTACGAATTTCTCATTTCTCAGCCATCACCACTCACCCAAAGTCATCCCAAATCACCTCGTTAACCTTCATACATCCTTCTAGACGTGGAGAAGCTCTTGGATAAACATTAGGCGTGGAGAAGCATTGGACACCACAAGAACTTTAAAAAAAGGTTTTTCTACTCTTATTGTATTCATTATGTTTTCTCAATCCCGTTCATATTATTGTCATTATGAGTAGCTAAATCCATAACTAGTGTCCCAGCAAGTCTATCTGCCATTCCCTACGAATTTCTCATTTCTCAGCCATCACCACTCACCCAAAGTCATCCCAAATCACCTCGTTAACCTTCATACATCCTTCTAGACGTGGAGAAGCTCTTGGATAAACATTAGGCGTGGAGAAGCATTGGACACCACAAGAACTTTAGAAAAAGGTTTTTCTACTCTTATTGTATTCATTATGTTTTCTCAATCCCGTTCATATTATTGTCATTATGAGTAGCTAAATCCATAACTATGGCTTCGATGGAACCTAACATGAATATTCTGGGTTTATAAATTTCAAGTTTCAAGTTTGATTCATGTTCTTATTCATTACGCCTACCTGCCTATATGCTAATTGGAATGCCTAGCTATCATTCAGATTTGTATATCTTGGTTGGAATTAAGAGTAGACACCATATGCTTTAATTCGAATTGAACTATGAATAGAAAGAGTATGTATGAACATTTGACAACATGGATTAGATACATGCTTGGTTGTTTAAAACATTCTTCTATGCTTAATGGATTTCTAATGCTTAATTTAGGTTCGACAACAAGGATCTAATTAGGGAATTAGAAATACAAGGTTAGGACCAGATACCATGGCTTAATTATACTTTAGCTAGAATCAATCTTTGAATTTGAATTAGACTTGTCACTTGAATCCTTATAACCTAGAATTGGATTGTTATGGTGAATTGAATGCTCTAGTCTCCAAATCTGTTTTCCAACCCTTAAGACCACTTTTTGGTACACTCGTTTACTTACTTTCGTTTGCAATTTCATTTTGTTCATTTGTTTTCACAATCACAAGCACTCTCACTTCAAATTCCAATTTCATTTTTCTTCATTTGTTACCAAACTCAATCTCACTTTAAAATCTGTTTTAGACTTAACTTCTTGTTTCTAGAATTGGGTAATCTAAGTACATAATTAATCTGAACTTCTCAGTCCTCGTTCTTGTCTTGCTATACTACTAATTGGCCCGTACAATTGCGAGTTAATACAACAGTAGATTATTTGAGAAATTGGGGTATTTATAGAGTTTGGAGTGAGTTTTGGGGTTGGATCTCATTTAAATTAATTAAAATTATTATTTTAACCATTGGATTTAAATTTCAGTCGTTGGATTTTTTTTTTATGGTTAAAATAGGTTGGATTTAATATGGACCGCTGATTTGGGTTACTGTTGGAATTATAAAAAAAAAAGAGTCGTTTGAATTGTGCCGTTAGATTCCAATGGCAAAACCACCATGCTACGACACCCCTTTGCAGCACAGCAACCGCAACCCCCAATTTTTTCCTCCTTGCATGTGGGCTACTTCTGGCTCAGTGAGCTGCACGAAAAAAAAAATCCAATCCATGCAATAGATGGAATGGTATTCCGCCCCACTTTTGGGTTTTCTTAAATTTTAGCCCCATACTTTTCTTGAGTTGAAGAGGAATTGGGCTAAAATTTATGATTTTTTGGGTTTGGCCTGCTAAGTTAGAGATGGCCTTTTAGGTATCAAATATCATTCTTACCCCGATTTCAGATAATTTTGTAAACAACTTCAATGGAAACCCGGACTCTAAATCCCCACAATCAAATTCCTCATCAATTCAATTCTTCCTCACACGATTATAGATTAGTAAACATGTCATTGATCTACCAAATTACAGTCAGTAGGTGTGAGTTTAACCCAAAATTTATTTGGGCTATAAAAGATAAGGGTGTTAGCTAGACTTGTGGACGATAAAACTATGTCCCGAAGCATAGCCCAAAGTTTGGGCGGTCAAAGCCCAAAGCATCTTTGCTATATATAACATGCTTTCCAAATTCCAATGGGTCTGGAACTACAAAGCCAACTACGATAATTGCAACGTTGTCAACAACAAACTCGAGCTCTAGTTTGAATAAAACCTGTAGCTTTCTTCTGCTCTCAAGTCTCGAAGTCCCTCCCTCCAGGCTCGAGCCCTCATCTCTTTTCATTTCCTGGGATCTTTTTATAAGATCTGCAACTTGGGTTTTGAAGTCCCAGAGCCTCTACGAAAAGCAAAGCTCTTAACTTTCAGCTTCAACATTCTTCACAAAACTCAGCCCCTGCACTTTACTTTCATTTCTAGGGCTCTTATAAGATCTTCTTCGCCATTCTTGCGCATGGACTATGATATCTCCGACAGCAGCGGTGAGAAAAGTCTGAACCTTTACAATTATCTCGAATCTGGGTCACGTATCTCAAGGGATTTCGGTTAGTGGGTTAGGGTTTAATTTGGGTAATTGTGTGATGAGTTTTGTTCCAGGCCTGCAGAATGAAGAGTGGGTTTTTTGCAAATTAGGGTTTTGGGTGTTCTTGGGTTTTATGCGAATTAGGGAGATTGAATATATAATTGTGTGACTTTGAAGTGTTAAATCTCTGGATTTTGTTTTTGGGAATTTGGGTTCATGCGAGTTACTTGGGCTTCACCTCTTAAAGTGATTCTTTGAGTACAAGTTTAGCCCTCACATTTGATTTTTTCCCTAATATATCGATCATTATGTATAGAGTGGAAGAAACCAAAGATGGCATATAGAATGATTCTTATTTCAATTAATTTTATGAAATTCACTGATTTTTAAAACAAGACATAAATTTGCATAAACTTTGATATGTGTACGTTCATAAGATGCATGGATATTAAGGATGCAAGTGTTATCTTGAAATCCCCATCTGTCTACTATATTTATGTGTATGAGATAGTTTGAAAAATTGTTGTGACTTTTTTCATACAAATAAACTTGCCAAAACTATGTACCAAAAGAGTTAGCAAATTCAGCCTTATTTTTTTTAATAGCATTTCTAGCCATAGAAGGGGAATTTGTGAACTTCATATAATTTTGTTTTGCTCAGGTTGATACTCCATCACAGATTCAGCCCAAATTCTTGTTTACAAACTGATTTTCATTGCAAATTGATACATTTCTCAACAATATATATATATGATCTTAATTGTCAGATATATAGATAATAAATAAACATATATTTTTTACTTCTGTTCAGGATAAATATACTTCGCAATCAATAGCTTTAGAAGACCTAACTGCATATGATGCAAAGTTTCATCTAGATGCTCCATGGCATTAGTTGTGGTTATATAATAATACTTATCCTTTCTTCCAAGGTAAAGTTATGGTGACATATTTCTTGTGAGTATCATGTATACCCTTATATGGAATAACTGCAGGTACTGATGATGATCTTCCTCCATCTCATCAAAACAGAATTCCAAGAGGGGCTCACATCACGGCAAAAGAAAGATCTGCAGTAGGTTCTATCTCATTTTCTAGGATGTATACAGACATGGAGGCCCAAATTCATCACCTAGAGCAAGAAGCATACTGTGCAGTCCTGCGTGCTTTTAAAGCTCAGTCTGATGCAATTACTTGGGTATTTACCTTCTCTTTGTTTGCATGTCTCTGTGCTTGTTATCTTGGTGTTGTTTGTGAATCAGCCTTTAATTTGTTGTCATGTGTGTTTATTTCAGGAGAAGGAAAGCTTGATTACCGAACTTAGGAAAGAGCTGAGAGTATCAGATGACGAACACAGAGAACTTCTGACCAAGGTTAATTCTGATGACATCATCAGTAAGATAAGGTTCGCCTCTTCAAAGTTGAACAAATTGTAATACAATGATCACTGCAAAATTGGCAGGGAGTTTAGTATTTCTAGTTTTTAATTGTCACATGTTGGAGCATGTATCAGAGAGTGGAGAAAGGGAGGCGGGCATCAAGCTTCTAGGCTTAGTGCATCTCAGCCTGTCTATGATCTATTACCCAGTCCTACTGTTTCTGCATCGCGAAAGAAACAGAAAACATCTCAATCGGTACCTTCTCTAGCATTCGGTCTCTCGATTGTGGCTTTAATCTTGTATTCCATATTTACAGCCTTTGTATTCAAAAGTATTAAGGAGCTCTTTTGAGCCATAAGGAAAGTAAATTATAAACCTAAACTACTTACTACAGTAGACCTAAATTTTGTTCTCTTTTCTTAGCATGGTCAGCCATTCCCTGGTTTATCCTCAATGAAGTCCATGCAGTACCCGTCGACAGGACCTACTTTGAGTAGACAATTAACTGGCCGCAGCTCTTCTGGTCCCCTTGTTGGAAATGAACCTGTTGAAGCAGTAACATTTGATTCATTAATCGGAAGGAAAGTATGGACCAGATGGCCTGAAGACAACAGCTTCTATGAGGCCGTTATCACTGAATACAACCGCACTGAGGTAGGTATTGAATTTTGCATGAGGTGTTTTTGATTCAGTCCTTTTTTCTGCAACAACATTTGTAAGTTGAATTTCTGTTAAAATGCACATGTCTGAGTGAAAACAAGCTTAAACGGAATTCAGCCGAGTTTATTGGTATTATTACTGGTGTACATGAAGTTTGTTGAAAACTAACTTTGCTAAACGAAATGGAAAGAAAATAAGTTATCTTTGGTTAGGGTTGTCATTTAGCATCTACCTACTGCTCTTACTAGATGTTGATAGGACAGAAGACTCTCTTAGATGATTAATCGACATAAGAGTGCACTTGCTTGAGTATGTACCTTGTAATACAACTCTGGAGAGTTGTTTCATATATTATAGGTTCAGTTGATTTTGAATATAAAATGAGAACATAGAGCATTTCTCTGATGGCATACTAATTAATAAACTTTGAACTGCCCGTTCTGGCATAACTATCTTTTAAACATTATTTTTAGTCATAGCTGTGTGATGCCATTTCTTTTTAGTAAAAATTGATGACTGTCAGTCTTGGTGCCAAATCTTAAGATATTTTTTTTCCCTTTTCTTTTGAACATCATGCAAATTCCTTATAAGATATTTTGAATAATTGAACCAAAGTGTTTTGGACTTTGAATTCAGCAATTATTGTCAATGGTAAAAGATGATGGTATGAATTTAATGTAAAAGATACAGTTGTATAGACTTAACATATTTTTCCACACAAGGCTTAAAGTGCATCAAATATTACACCTCATCTGTCATTTTTGTAGAAGAGTCATGTAATATGGTGTTTGATTACATACAAAATTTCTATCCTCTTATTTGTTGGATGATGTTTGTGTTCATTTTCCTTCTGGACTCTTTCTAGGTTTGAAGGATTCTATCATTATTGGAATTTTCATAAATCCAAGACAGATTTAAATTTGACGTACCCAATCTTAATATAGTTTAGTTTGTGCTCTGATGAAATGTACTAGACAACTAAGGATCCTTTGGCATAACAATAATTTTCCAGAAGAAATAATACACACATCAACTATAAGTTATTTGATTTTTTGATTTGTTTAAGTGACATTTTCTTTCTGATGATCCCTAAGTTTCCATGTTTTATCTGTAGTGATGTTTTTTTGTCAGTTTATCTGTGCCTGCATGCTTCTAAAATGGCACACCCTTCTCTTTCGATGGATTTGATCACTTTTTTATCAATAACCATTCGAAAGTAAATAGGAAAGCCTAATATACTCCTGACGTGTTTAGGATAAACTTAGTTGACCGGAGTAAAATGCGATGACTATGAATGACTCTGTTTAGATTCTCTTACGTGCCAGATTCTTTAGCCATTCAAATCAACTTTTGTTTTTTACAGGGTCGACATGCATTGGTCTATGATATAAATACAGCAAACGAGACATGGGAATGGGTTGATCTCAAGGAGGTTAGTCTATATTTTCTTTATATGTAGTATGAATGCATGTATTCCACTCTAGCATTAACCTGCCAATGCTCTAGTTGTTATTGTTAAGTGTGGAAGCAATCATTGACTAGAACTAGGATCCACAGGGAGAGAGCACAAGAGAAATAGAATTAGACCTTTGATTTCTTCTGCTAGCCCCATCTTTCAGTAATAAGTAGATAAGCAGATGTTGTAGTCAAACATGAACACAAAATATGAAATGTGTAGATAGTGTTGATCTTGGATGGAAACAGCATTATGAGATCTTTAGAATTAAATTATCTTTTTATATTTAATCAAAGAGCTTGGAAATGTTGCTCTCATATATCAAATGTCGCCTATTTCATTCATATTTTTTAAAGGGCTTATGACATGCATGTACATTTATGTTTGTGGCAGCATTGCTGGCCTTGATCATATTGTCAAGTCATATCTGTCTTGTCTTTGGTAAATTGACAAAATTGTATCCCAAGAAATCAAAGAGTGCTGGGACTTGACTGACTCATTACTGATTACAGATCTCTCGTGAGGATATCCGTTGGGAAGGTGAGGATCCGGGCCTATCTCATCGAGGGGGCCATGGCGGTGGGCAAGGAGGACGCAGGGTTAAGAAATCTTTGAACCATGGCGGTGTTACTCCAGGTGCTGGAAGAGGACGAGGACCCATAAAGCCCCAATCAAAAAAAGAAATTCATCCGTCACAAAATGGTGTAGGGAAGAAGATGCCAGATGATCTGGAATTATTAAATACTGATACTCTGGTAAAGGAGGTATGTATGATGAACATGATGAGCCTACGTAACTAGAATTATGTTCATTATTTTCATTTGTCACTTTTAATTTTACTAGGTGGAGAGAGTTTTCAATGCAAATCATCCAGATCCTTTTGAGCTTGAAAAAGCAAGGAAAATGCTGAAAGTAAGATTAACATCCTTTACCCTTTCTCTCTCTTTTCTCCTGGTCTAACATTACAATTTGACATTTATATGCAACAAATGCAGGATCACGAACAGGCCCTTGTTGATGCCATCGCAAGGCTTGCATATGCGTCAGATGGCGAAAGTGGTAATAGATACATGTGTACATAATAATTCTGTGTTATGTTGCTGTCAAAATAAGTTAATTAGCCAATTGTTGTACCATCAGAATTTCTGTTGTGAAAGTTTATTTTATTAGCATATTGAAAATTCCTATTCTTTAGTGGTATCTTTCGATGCCTGTACTTCTGTTGGTGCATAATTCTTTCAATTGATTTTAATTAAAGTAACCATCACACACTGCACTTTTCGACCAAAATGAATAGTTTTGCATAGTGTTTGGCAAGGGACCTTCTGTCGTAATTGGCTAAGCAACTCTCTGGATATCCTCCAGACTCATAACTAAACTGGGTCCTTGAAGATAGATGGTTATCTTTCTTGGCTTATCCTCACAGGGAACTGAGACGCCATATAATGAATAGGACTGTTGAAAAGGGGATTACACAAAATCAAAATGTTGTTTGTTGGTCCCCTTTATTTATTTTTGACAACCTTCCACATTTGACCTGTTTTTTATTTTTAAAATTCTGCTTATTCTTTCTTATTTTTTGCTTAAAAGCAGATGGAGAGCATACGTTTCTGCATGGTCGATCAATGGATGGATAACGACGGAAAAGCAGGCACTGTGGTTGAGGCAACGATGGTCTCTGGATAGTAGCTTCAAAGCTGGCAGTCAAATGAAAGGAAAGGTTGAGTTGGAAAGAACGACAACCACAAAAGTGGTGATGATGTTGATGGCCTAGTTTTTTTCACTTTATCAAATTCTTGGATTTTCATCTGGGTTCGTTTGAGAAATCTCAATTGCCTTTGATGATCACATGCCTGACTTTAGACACATCCACTTGTAAAAACACCTCGATTTAGTGTTTTAGATTTGCCAAGAAGTTGTGTAGAAGAGATTGTTTCTTTCATCAATCGTAGTTTCCACCTGAGTGACTTGACTCAAATGTAAAATCTAGCAATGTAAAATTTGGTTGATTTTGGTCCTCTCTTTTGATTTTGTGGACTTGTCCTGCTTCTGCTTCTTCCCCCTAATAATACAGCATTTAAGTTTAGCTTCCACCGACCATTTGTCCTGCAAAGAAAGCAAACAAAATCACATTCCTTGAAAGAAATTACCTAGTATTGGTGCCTATTGCAAAAGCTTTTTGATACTGTCTTATCATAAAATTGCCTTTTTATGTTGTCTCCGACACAAACAGCAGGAATGAGTGACTTGCTCTATCTCATAAAACAGCAGACTGCTGAGCCAGATATCAGGGCACCTACACAAACAATACTAAAGAATGAAGGAAGCAAATTCAATAAAAGTGCTTCCTGATAACTTAAAAACGCTTCTGGTAGCGTTTGACAAAAGAACTTGTAAGTGATTAAGAGTCACAAAAGCACTTGGATTTTTAATAAAATCTTTGACATTCTTCTAATAGGAATAGGAGCACTTCTATAAAAAAAAATTATAAGTGATTATGTTAATGCTTCCTGCATAAGCCTTCCCAAACGAGGCCAAGGAGTTGAAAAAGGCAGCTATCAGAACACCAAATCAAATTTGCATTGAACAGCAAGTGGTGCACACACTGATGAGGAGAAAAATCGATTATTTTTTCCTAAATCCAATGGCCTTGGATCTTCTGATTTCCCCAAAAAAAAAAAAACCGAGATGAACACAATGATTGGTCTTCTTCTACATATTCCCAAAACAGATCATTCAGAAGAAAAGAGCACATAAACTTTCTGTGGATGGATCAAATCGATCTCGGAATTCACTCTACAACAGAGACAATCCTCCTAGTTTAAGTTCTTCTATGATCAGTGAAAATAAATTTCTTTCCTTCTTGTAAACATGTCTTTCAAAAAAATTCATCTGAGATCTTGTTCTTTTTTGGACTGTGGGAAAGACCAAAGAATACTTACAACCATTGAATCCAATACCACAAGAACTACAATTACCTTAAAAGAATCAAGCAGCTCCAGTTAATCATCGAAGTTTGATCATAATTATGCAACAACCAAAAAAGGAGAGAGAAAAAAAAAGAATCAAAACAAAAACCCAATGATCTTCCATGGACATGGAGTATACAAATGATTAATCTAAAGCATCAAATGCAATCATAAACACATTAATTATGAGAATCTGTCGACACAGAATTGGACATATAAACGGACAGATCATCGGCCAACCTCAACTGAAGAAATTGAATTAAAAAAAACAGAACAATCCCAAATGCAGAGAAACAATAATCAACAAAATGTCAAGGAAAAACCACACCTGAAGAAGGAAATATGAACTGAATCTGATTTTGCAGATGAATTCTGGGAGACCCTTTCGGTTTCAGACAGCAACTACATCGTGAAGGCATTCCTGTGAATCTGCCGACGTACGTTTTTCTCATATCACACGCGATGGCTTTAAAGCCCATTTGAGCTGAAAACGTTAGCTATTTCGTTTTGGTATTCTTTGGGTTGGTTTAAAGATGAAAGGGAATTCCTAATTGTCATGAAAAGAGTGTGTTTGTAACTGGGTAATAATGTTTGAGAGAGAGAGAGAGGAGAGAGAGAGAGAAATTAGATGGGGATGACTTTGTTTTGAAGAAATGCTATCCACTACCATTTTTGAACGATTTTGTGTTGAATTTGCATTTGAATGCCATTTTGACAAGAATACCTAAAACAAAGGTCCCCATTTGTTGACACGAATAGTTATTTTCGAAACAAAAAAATGTGAAATAAAGGTATTTTACATCATGGATATTGAGAGAAGGTAATTGAACACAAAACCTCGATGTATATGGAATTCTAAAAGGATTTTTTATTTAATAACTAATCTTTGTTGTCGTATTGCGTCTCCTAGGCACCCTTGAATAATAATCTTTAGTGAAATTGTAAGTGATGTGAACAGTTGATTATTACTATAATCACTTCAATATAATGAAATATAGAGTTCATCTATTTTTTTTTAATTAAAAATTCTATGATTGCATTATAATTCAGCCTAAAAACCCATTAGCCACAAAAGGCCAATACAAACTAGCCACAAAAGGCCCATTATAATAACGGATCAATCTAAAATCAAAATTAAGACAATCTCGTGCGCATCCACTCACGATCACACATGATCGAAGAAACTTTGGCATAAGCATCCCAACTAAGATTGCAAACTTAGAATAATCAAAAAGAGATAAAGCTTAAAAAACCCAAACCATAACAATACAAATAAAACTCTTACAAAGGAGAGGTGAAAAGCTCTCACAAAGGAGAGGTGAAAAGCTCTCACAAAATGAGAGGTGAAAACTACACAGAGAACCCAAAGAGTCTCTACAACTTATTCCAAACATAAAGAAACCACAAAAAGGATGGTGGTGGAGATCCGACGTTGAAACGCAGGTGGAGATCCGACGCCGAAACACAACCGCCTATGATAATTGGATGAAAATCATAACAAAACGAAGACAAATAGGGAAAACCATTTGTCTTTGAAAATGGGGGAAAATGTGAAGGGAGGAAGAGAATAGGGGAGATGGGAGGAAGAACAATGGCTTCCTCCCCCCTCAAAGTGAAAACGGCTCTACGAGTGTTTTGTTCATCTATTTATTTGAAAGGAGCATTTTTGCTCACTACTTTAACCTGAAGTGTACCATCATCACTTTTCTCAACACTTGACGTGTGTCCATGGGTCTAACCATGGTTCCACAAATACAAACTAAGAAATTAACTATGGTTATCCATGGACACGTGTGAGGTGTTGTTAGAAAGGGTAATAAGGGTACACCTTGAGTTAAAGTGGTGAGCAAAAATATTTCCTTATTTTAATGCCAAAAAAAAAAAAAAACTACATAGTTCCAATTCTAATTTGCTTGATGGGACGACACTTGCAAAAGATCTAAATATGTTTATATTATGACAAGAAGGTCTCTAATCCAAGTTGAACTCTCATTAGAACGCTACAATGCAATTAAGAGTGTTTACAATCATGTTCTTTATTTTTTTAGTTAAAATTTAACTAAAAACACACAATAGCTATTTTAGGAGCTCTTTAGGGCTCGTTTGGGACTGCTTCTCTAGGAAGTACTTCTGCTCATAAGCACTTCTAACAAAAGTGCTTTTATTATAAAAATCTTGAATTTTCATAAAAAAATTAAAGTGCTTCGTGGAAAAGCACTTTGGAGTGCTTCCTAAAGAAACACATAGTAAGTGCTTTTCCAGGAAGCACTTCTATGACCCAGAAGCGCTTCTAAACTTAAAAATATGCATAAGGGAGTGTAGTGGACAAAAGAGGGGTAGGAAAATAAGATCCTAAAAAAATAATATAAAAAATAGTTAGCATTAATTAAAAGTTTAAAATATGCATAAAACAAAGCACCATCAAATTATAGAGAGCCATTAGGAGGAGAAAGACTTCATAAAATGGGGATAACAATATTTTGCTATCTCCGACCAATAATGTTTTGACATGCATGACAACACTTCCACGAGACATAGTATTAATGGTCGAGGATAGCAAAATATCCTCGTTGCAACTAAGTTTTGATGACAATTTCCGATACGACCTGATACATGACTCGGAAAATTAGCGGGTCAACACACATGATTCAATCTTTGGGTCAACTCGACATTGACCCGTCAATAAACGGGTGGATTTCGAGTCAACCTGCCAACCCGCTAAAATACCTATGTAACCTGTTTATTAAACGAGCCAACCCACCAACCCGCTAAAATACATATGTGACCTGCCAACCCATTTTTTTGTTTCTTCTTCATTTTCTTCATTTATTTTAATTCTTATGTTTCTCTTTCTCAGTCTTCAGACATAGCAAAATGTAATCACTATTTTATATATAAATAAAAAGTATAAAATGCAATTACTTTATTAAATTATCAAAATTCAGGATTTTTTTATTTGTTTTTTATTTGCTACCACACTTAACGGGTCAACTCGACACGACCCAAAACCTGCACGGGAAATTAACGGGTCATCCCATACATGACACATTTATTAAACGGGTTGGGTTTGGTTTAAGCATTCTTGATACTTATATAATCCTGACACGACACGAACCCAACACGTCCTATTGCCAGCCCTAATTAGGAGTCATTTCTCTCTCTCCTTAGATTTAGGAGCACTTAGAGGTCTCCCTATTTTAGGAGGAGGATAGGGAGGATGGTTGGAGTTGTATTTTTCCAATTCCTCCAAAAAAAAATTCTAAGGAGGTGGTTTAGGGAGCCCATTGAGGATGCTCTATCATTATAACTTATAGGTTTATTAGCTAAAGTGCCCCCAGAAACTTTGGTCAAATCTCACTTTCCCCAATGAAACTGAAAGTGACTCACATTGCCCCTTTGACCGTGGTTTTGTGGTTCACTTTGCCCATGTCGTTAACTCTGTTCCAAACTACGTCAAAAATGCTGACATGACAGAGGTATTTTCTTCTTTTTGTCCCAACTGACTATTTTCTCGCTAGTGTGAGAGAGTGACATGGCTATTTTCCCACTAGTATAAGAAGGGTATCCCTCCTAGCCCCAATCTCCCCCAGCCTCTTCTTAAATTAATTAGTGTATAGTGATTAAAAACTTTAAGAATTACAATATCATAAATAAAGTATTTTAGTTTTGGGTTTGATGAATGGATTTTGAGTTTTTTTTTTTTTTTTTTTGGGTAATATGTCAAGTGGGCCAAATTGGATGGGCCCATATAAATCTATAGAGTAAAAGTCTATTTTGCCCCTTTTAAGTTAAGAGGGCACCATCGCTGTTTGCTGGCCAGACACGCTGTTGTCGGCCGAACCCATATCCGACACCTTTACTTAAATTGATAATTAAAAAAAATATTAAACACCATGCCATTTGTAGGATTTGAACCTCCAACCTCTACTATGAACAAATTATCACTTTTCCAACCAAGCTATACCATACTTTTTGCTAATTTTGGATTTTTATATTACTTATAATTTAATTTTTATTAACTAGTCCCTCAAAAATTGGACAAATCGGTCTAGTCACTGTCTGACAGTGACATGAAATAACTCTTTTGTCAGTGTTGAACAGTGACATTGAACAACTCTCGGGTCACTGTTTGACAGTGTCAGTGACATGAAATAACTCTTATGTCACTATCAGACAGTGACTAGACTGGTTTGTCCAATTTTAGGGAGCCTGGACCATTTTAACATTTTGTCTTGGGTGAATGACATTTTTATCATTTCTAATACACACATGTGTTGTAGTTTCTATTATATAAGTCTAAAAATATAAATATAAGAGTAATCTTTGGTTATATGTTTATTCATATATATGTGTTAAATGGTTTGAAATTGGATTGTATTGCCTTCGAAAATATGGTTGCCTTCGGAAATACTGATGTCTTTGGACATCCCGGTTGCCTTTGGAAATATGGTTGCCTTCAGGGATACCAATGTCTTTGGACATCTTGGATGCCTTCAGAAATATTGATGTCTTTAGACATTCCAGTTGCCTTTGTGAAAAAAAGGTATCTTCGGAAAACTTAGTTGCCTTTAGAAAAGTCTATGCGCATATGACATTGCCCCAGGAGTCTTGAGGACGCCGAAACCGTGTGGTGCTATGGTTTGCGTTCTCAAGTTGAGTATATCTCCATGAGTTCTACTAGGATTTGCGTTCTCAGGTTGAGTATATCTCCCTGAGTTCTGCTAGGATTGTGTTCTCATGTTGACCATTTGTCCCTGAGTTCTGTTAAGATGCGCCACACATGTGGAGTGGACTGTTCCACATGTGTAGTACTTGGAATTGACGGATTATGTTTGGGGTACACTTATGTGGAGAACAGTGCAATACTGATATGTTTTGTACAGTTAACAGGATATTCTTCGCCACCTTGCTCATGTTATCTGCACAGGGTTGGCCATGGTCCCCAGCCACCTGCCCGACTTGTCTACATAGGTGGTTGGCTAGTTTCCCCTTCCCCAGTTGCCTTCGGATTTAATGATATTTTCCATTTACCCCTTGGTGGGTGATTGCAGGACATATGCACTATGCGGACGGTCGTAGGTATGGCTTTCAGGTAAAAATGTTTGGTTACATATGTGTTTGGATGTACAATGATAAACTAATTGAACAGTTAGGTACATAATTACAGGGCATGATATTCAGTTATGTAGCTTGTTGAAATCAAAGTAAAGAATGATTCTAGAATTTTATTGTTGGTTTCACCTTGAATAATATTATATTATCTTAATTGTGTTTTTTGGTAGGAAAAACTACGTGTGGCTTGATCCCTCAATAAGGGTACGTAGGCAACGTAGGCTAACCTAGGTGCAACCGCAAGTTTAGGCTTTGTTTATTTTGTTCAATTGTCAAGAAGATTTTGCTGACTTTTTATGTTGTAAAAAAGGAGGGGCCTGAAGCCCATTGAAACTTTTGCTAATTTGTGTGTGGTTTATACCTTGTGCCTGCTAAACATTTGGGAAGTAAATTGCGTTTTCCATGCATGTAAATTTTTGGGTTTAGAGCCTTTTTCAAGAGAGACTATGTTGATTTTCCAATAAAAGTCAAATCCTAAAGTTGTTTTGGAATTAGGGGAAGATGGGTATTTTTGTCATTTGAACCAACACGTGGCGAAAACCCTAAAGGCGGAACCACATTATAACAAATTTAAAAAATCGGGGTATGTGATTGTAAAAATTGAAAAAATATGGACTAACATATCTTAAGGGTATAACCACAAGATACTAAACTGTAATTAACCATTTTCCCCTTGCTCTGCCCTTCTTTCTTTGCTATGATTTTATGGGGTCTTTGATGTCTCTCTCTACCGATGATCCATTTTTGGATGTAGAGCTCCCCTTTATTCTACTCAAAAATCTGCCGCGCTTTGCTTTTTCACATTTGCATTAGTATCTAAAATATTTCACTATATATATTTTTTTCATTTCTCTCAAGTGAGGTGGCAAAGTCACTAAAATTAGTTGGAAAAAATAAAAGGAGAAGAGAGATTCTCTATTAACCCAAAAGAAAGAAAATTGAGATTCTCTAGCATTTTCTATTGCATTATTCTCAAGGAAAGTATGCATAAGTCCATACTCCAAATCCATACTTAAAGTGAGATTCTGTAACATTTCCTATTGGATTGTTTTGATGTAACCACCTTCGAGGCTTCAACTATCAGCCATGGTTCTCTTGGGGCTTGCATTAAGTGATAATAGTATAAATATGAAGAATTATCCCATATTACCTTTTAAAGCACGAAAGCATCATCTGGCATCTTTTATTTCTTTATTGAGAGGATCAGGGTGTACTTCTCCACTCTACCCATCTCTTTTTCTTTATGCTATATATATATATATATATAACAAATAGCCAGCCACACGTATACATAACTCTCTCCATCTTTTACTTTGAGCTAGCTCATGAATCCGGACGTGAAAGCCATTACGTCGACTTGAAATTCTGTACTACAATCTTAAACTTCTCGGTCTAGCAGCCGCACTCAAATCTTCCGAGAGAAAATGTCCGAACCTCAAGGCACACCCACCAAGGTAAAGAGCCCATAATTCTGCTAGTATAAAAGTAATTTTTCTACCGGACATTCTCACCTTCACATTCTCATATAACTACATAACAAATTTATACTGAATTTATTAAATTGCTAGTTGCAGAGTGAGGGTGAGGGTGAAAGATCATCAACATCCAGTCCATTGACGTCCAAACAAGAGCAAAAAGAACAAAAGGATGGCCAAAATTCAGATTCATTGTCAATACCGAAGGATTTGCAAGACAATTACAGCGATATTTCAGGGTAAAGAGCTCATAACTTTGCTAGTATAAAAGTAATTATCTACTGGACATGAATATGATCGAGGAAATGTGCCCAGTTGTTATTGGACCTTTACATTAAACTATGGAAAAGCTGTTGATGCAACTCCTTACTGTAATTATGTAATAAATTTATACTGAATTTATTAAATTGCTGGTTGCAGAAAGAAAGAGATGGATGCTCAACATTCCAGTAGTAGCCATCCATCAAAACTTAAACATTTCAGTCACAGCCATGAATTGATGTTCAAAGAAGAACAAAAAGAGAAAAACTATGATGACGAAGTTGTTTTTTGCAATGCGTGCGAGGAGGTAGTGCTTGGCCCTAGATACAGTTGTAACACATGTGTCGACCCCAATTCCACCTTCAACCTCCATAAATCATGTGCGGAGGAGTTATCCTGCGAGATCGAGCACCCGATTCACAGGCACAAACTGAAATTTGAATGTAAAACAGAGCCTTCCGCAGAACTTTTCACTTGTAATGCCTGCCACCAACCTTGCAGATTAGCCTACGCTTGTTCCCCATGTGATCTCGCCCTTGACCTCAAATGTGCCTCCAATTGGTGCCACATTCTTGACAGGAAAAAGCCCCACGTGCATCAATTCAGCGTCCTTGGGAAAGGAATTCCATTTGATTGTGAGGTCTGCGGCAAAATTCAGGATTCACTCCCCTACCTTTGTACCATCTGCCACCTCTTGGTCGGTAAGGAATGCACACAATCACTACCACATGTCATCAGAATTGCCTCGCACCGACATCGTCTTGGGCTCATCTGGTTCCTTGAAGAAGCTTACAAGAAGGACCGAATTTGTAAAATCTGCTATACAAGCACGAACAGAAGTCGTGCTGTTTATCAATGTAATTCTTGTGATTATTACGTTGCCCACACTCTATGCTCCATGGACAACATAACCCGCACCAATGATGACAACCAAGATGATTGGCTATATTGGATAGAAGGACAAAGCTATCGTGCAACTATAAAGAGAATGTTTTCGAGATACAAATCGGAATTAAAGGAGATAAATCCAATTGAGCTAATTGAGGAACGGGGGCTCAAGAATTTCAGTCACGATCATATCTTAACCCTCATTGATGAGCTTAGAGATAATGATGCAATTACTTGTAACGGTTGCATGAGGCCCATCACCATCAGTACCGGTAAATTTTATTGTTGTACACAAGATTGCCTTTTTTTTCTCCACAAAAGATGTGCTCGATTACGTGAAAAACAGCTTCACTCATTTCATCCACACGAGCTCCAACTCCTCGCAAAAGCTTATACATTTGACGGACTATTTAACTGTCATATGTGCCACAGCTTGAGCCAAGGCTTCTGTTTATATTGTGAAGGATGCGACATATACCTGGACCTCCAATGCATGTCTATTTCCAACCCTCTTCGTAGACTTAAGGTTCATGGACACAGCCTCGACTTGAACTCTGCTTCAAGCGAGGACCATTGCAGGGGTTGTGGTATTTCTCTTGCGGATTTGCGCTTCAGTTGCTTCAAATCTAAGTTTCATTTGTGCATTCCATGTGTTAAACTACCGCATACTGCTAGGTACAAATACCAGGATGATCATCTCAAGCTCACCTACCATTCCGTTGAAAATGAACTAGGTGAATATTACTGCGACATATGCGAAGGAGAACGAGATCCAGCACATTGGTTCTACAAGTCCAAACATTGTGACTTTGAATGCCATCCTCATTGCATTCTAGGGCGGCATCCGCAAGTTAAGTTGGGGAGCAGTTACAAGCTTGATGCTCACCCACACATTGTCACTA